TTGCAGGCCCACACTCTATCCACTGAGCCAAACCAGCTAGGGCTAGTTATTTATTTAATCAGTTATTTTTTTATAATGTAAAAAGCACCTACAAACCTGCCAACTGAACAAAGCCAGGATCCAGAAATTACATATGAAAGCCAATAACGCCATCATTCAGTTCATTCATCTATCTGCCTTCCTACATCCATGGCAACCATCACACTAAATCTAGTCCAATGCCTTTCTTTTATATAAATTCATTTCATGTATATGCATTATTAAAAATAATATTTTTTTAGTTTTTACATTTATATAAAGGTTATCACTGCATTAATCTTTTGAGACTTATTTTTCCACATAATATTTTATTCCTAAGGTTCATCAAAGTCGTTGCCTGTCACTGTATTTCATTCATTTTGACAGCTATATTATGTGCCATGTAACTCCTCTCCTTTTAAAGTAACTCTGGGTTATTTTCAGGTTATGCCTGTTTTGACCTATGCTAATGTACAACGGCAGAATTATGTTGGCACTTAGAATAGTATACTTCTTAAATACATCCATTTGAATTGTAATGAGGTTTCCTTCAACCTTCTAGGAAACAGCATAATTCAGGAGGATATATACACATGACCAGCTATATGTGGCAATCAAGGGAGTATGTATTTCAGTTCAATGCCTCTTACATCCTAACACTTATCCAGCATATGTAGTTTATGCATATATCTGTAACTTCCAAACTGGCTGTTCATGTGTCTTGTTCGATTTCCCCCAAAGCAGAGCCTGAGGAAAGGACTTGGATGCCTGTAGTTTATTGGGGAGATGATCCCAGGAAGTAAGAGTGAGGATTCATGAAAAGTAAAACAAGGAAGTGGGAAAAGCTAATGAAGGGTGTGCTCTGGCGTGTCCCACTGTGGGCAACTGGGCTCAGTTCCCCTGGGGGTCCCATTGGGCGCTCTATGAGATCTGTAAAATCGGCCTCAGAACCATTCCTCCTGCAAGTGCCCGGCTGGAGCATTTATTCATGAACTCCCACTGCCATTGGTTGAGGGTCCTCTGGGACCATTAACTCTCCTATACTTGAGGGCTGCCTGGTGCAATCTGTGGCTCTGATAAGCCCGGAGGGCAGAATCCCAGAGATATGCTACCAGTGCTTGAGATCCGATGCTGGTGGGGGGCCTGGGTAACGCCGCCACTGCGTGGCTGAAATCAGACGTGAGCAGAGATGGCATCCGGGCCATGGGAAGCATCTGCTAGGAACCAAACTAGAAAATGACTTACACAATATTACTATCAGTTTGTATGTTTCAATAAACAACCTCTTCCAAAAGCTATTTTGAGGACTCTCTTCACAACATTAACTAGAAATTTTATGTTCAGGCAAAAGCAATTAAAAAAAAACTACTAAGTTACCCAAGAAATAATGATTGTGTAGCACCTGTCAAGATGCAATAGATACAGAAAAGATAAGTACTCCCAATTTTGAACCCTTTGTATACAACATGATGAAGACCATTTCCTGAGCTCCTTTCTCTAATCATGGTAAATAGCATTTATAATAGCTTATGTTTGCAAACTACTTATTTCTCTATCCCTCTGAAATAAAAATAAATATAATCCAGGAAAAAAATATTTTATGATTTGAGTACTGGAGGGAAAACGTAGCGCTCACTGTCAGTGTTGTTTTTCACTCTGCCGCTTTCGCTGTGTCTGAAAGCAAATGATCCAGAACGTGCTGTTCCTGTGACAAAGCACTGGTGTTGGAGCGTGGCCACAAGCTTATGAAAAATTGCCGCGTTGATTTCAGCTCACTTTTCAACAAAGGGCTATACAAACACACCGGAATGGACCAACACTCCTTTCCACATGGCCAGCTAACACTCGCTAACAAGTGAGGTAGATGTCCCTGTGCAACCAAGCTGCCTGGGCACCACACGGACGCAAGCGTTAACCATGATTGACTGACTACTGAGGAGGTCTCTGCTCTTAGTTCTAAGGTTGCTGCTACTGTGTACACTGTTTTAAACCTACTAAAGGTGTGAAGGAACAAGAAAGGGGATGTATTCCTTGCTCCCAGAAGTGACCAATAGACTAGTGTTTCCTGCATCTTACTGACTACAAGAGAGAAAAACTTTATCTTATGTGGGCAGAGTCCCTTCCACTCCCAACCCCACCGCCGCCAATTCCAGATGGGAAGAATTGGATGAGTCTGGTCACAGGAAAAATTCTTACCAGTTTCTGCCCCGACAGGACTTCCAGGAGGGCAAGCAGCTTAACGCCATCTTTCATGTCCTCAAAAAGATCTTCTACCACCAGTGCGGGTTTCCGCTATAAAGTTAAAAAAAAAGAAAAAGAATAAATGCAAAAACTGCTTGTCTCTTTCTGTCAGACCTTTGCTACTCATCGTGGTGAAATTTGTAGGTGAGATTTCTAAACTACCTAAATGATTTACCTTGGATATGATTGGCAATTACCTTTTGATAGCTGTAAGGAGAAAAACAATCCTTTGGAGACAAACTTAACATTCAAAAACTTCGGGAGACTTGATGCTGGGGCTTTCACACACATACAAGCATCTTCCCAGAAAGGGATTTTGTCCAGGATGGGCGGTGTGGAATAAGGGAAGGGAAAGAGGGCACTCTCAGTGCAAAAGATGGGAGACATTACAGCAGGGCCTAAAGGGGAGCAGGAGGTGCTGCAGCTAAACTGAACCAAACTTCCCACTTCACTGAGCGAGCATACTGGTACTTCTGGGTTTGAACCGGGTGCCGACCTCCAGAGGACACTCTCTCTAGGTGAACTCCTAGCTCAGTGACCTGCAGTGGGAGCCCTGCTAGCACAGGCAAGGGCACAGCTTTCACCTCTGGCGGGTCAGCTGGCTGTGTTCTGTTTCACAGCCTGGCAAACCTTCTCTCACCGTGTGGCTTTGAACTCAGAGGATCCTAAGTGCAAGAGTACAGACTAACCAGGGCAAAAGCATCAGCCCCACTGGAAAAGGAAATCAACGCCCACTTACAATTCATAGAGGGTCTTATTGTTTATGAAGATCATTAAAATACTTAATATGCTGGCGTTCATCGACCTTGAATTAAGGTCTGTCTTGGCTCAGAAGAAAGTAAAGAAGTGATGATGCTCATCAGATTTCTCAGAGAATAATGTTTTTCTGTGTATCACCTGGGTTCAATCTCTACAGTTTTCTGATTCTGAGTCATGTTAAAGGCCCGCTGCTGGATTCCTGACTTTCAATTTTCTCTCTTTAAAAGAAGAGGTTTTTATGTAGCCAAATGTTTTATTGAAATGTGACTTTTTTCGCTACCCACTGACATGAAGCATTTACATTTCTCTTATGACTGCATGAATTATTCTCTGAATGGTGCAATTCCAATTTTAAACACATTTCTCTCTCTTTATAAATTGAAGGGCTGAATACATTTTGTTCTCATGCTGTGAAATACATGTTCAAAAATAACAGTTTTCATTGGTAATCATTCTCTTTTAAATTCCACTGTTGACACTGCTTATTATTTATGTAGCAAAAATGTAATAGTGACTTTATATTCTAAGCATGTAAATAAAATTATTCAGGATAAAATAAGCCATTGCAATGAAAACTATTCCATGTAATAAGAGTCAAAATTATTGCGTGAGCTATACATAACCATTAGAAATATGGCCTACTTATCATTGCAAATGTCCATTTGCATCTTAAAATTTAAAAACAGTTGAAAATGAGGAAAAAGTCCATACTTATGTAATATATTCAGTGAACAAATAAAAATAAAGTTTTTCACAGATTGTGTTAACCTGAAAATATATAAAGAAAATTGAAGTGCCGAAACCGGTTTGGCTCAGTGGATAGAGCGTCGGCCTATGGACTGAAGGGTCCCAGGTTCGATTCCGGTCAAGGGCATGTACTTGGGTTGCGGGCACATCCCCAGTGGGAGGTGTGCAGGAGGCAGCTGATCGATGTTTCTCTCATCGATGTTTCTAACTCTCTATCTCTCTCCCTTCCTCTCTGTAAAAAATCAATAAAATATATTTTTTTAAAAAAAGAAAGAAAATTGAAGTGGAGAATTTTCATGAAATAATAAATATGCCAAGACATTTGATCCCCAAAAGAAATAAATTGCATCCACACGTCCATTTTGCCTTAAACATACGCAGGCCTCTGCCACTCTGCAGGACATTTTCTCTGGACCTCATTCCTGCCTGTCCTGCTTCTCCTCTACCATGCTCACTGCTTCCTTCCCCGCCAGCTGCTCCTGCCCAGCTCCTGGGAGCGGCCCTCACACCAGCAGTGACCACTGAGCAGTTCTGTAGCCCACTGGCCTTTCTGGTTTCAGCTTTGCTGGTACCATCATCCCCTTGATCTGCTCCTCCCAAAACCTCTTTGACCAGCTTGCCTGGCATCCAGGCCTCTCTTCCTCCTCTCTCTCTTTTGTTCCTATCTATGGCCAATCACCAAACTCAATCCCAACTTCTCTGGTCTTTAAGAAACTGTGCCTGGATGGGCACAACCCTTCAATCCTTCCGTAAGTGTTCTCTCCTAAACACTGTTGAGCATATGGTAGGCACTCATTGTGTGCTGTAGGCTAACTGAAAGAATGTAATTTTCTCTTAATGGATCTTTAAATGTGATATATATATATATATATATAGCAAAGAAAAATGGTTTCTGGGTTCTAGGTTCTAGGCAATCACAGACTCTCACACAACACAGACCTAGAAGTATCTTGTTTCTGAATTCCTTGGTCACAGTAGGAACTCGTTAAATACTTGTTGAAGGAATGAATGAATGAATTTTTCAGTCTGTGCATGGAAAAGAAGAGTAGATGATTTTATTTGCACACAAATACCTAGAATACCTTTACTTTCCTCTTTTTCTTCTTAGCAAATTCCTGGTCAGTTTTCATCACTCAGTTTATATGTAATCTTTTCCAGTTATTCAACTAGAAGTAACTACTTCTTCTGTCCCAGGTATGCTGTTCAGATGACAAGGATCACATTCTTTTATAGTTAGCTATTACAAACCTGTGTCCCCAGTGACTCAGATCATGAGAAGTCGGATTTATCTTTATATACTTAGCACCGGGCACAGTGCTCAGCACTAGTTCCCAGTAAATATGTAGTTAGTGACTAAAATGCACTCATCAGGGGCATTTAAAAATATCTTTTGGAATCTTAGGGAGGAGACAGGCACAAATAAAATCATAGTGCCAAAATCTCTCTTTTTGTGGGAAATATGAGTTGTTTCTGAAAAATTTCCCACAGTGTCTTCCTACACAAAGTGAGGAGGTGCAGTCTGAGGGCTATCAACACACAAAATAGAGGCAGAGCAGCATCGAACAGACTGTCAAACTACAGCGGGAAGGCTGGGGAGGGTTGGGGGAGGTGTTAAGAGATCAAACGAAGGACTTGTATGCATGCATATAAGCATAACCAATGGACACAAGACACTGGGGGGTAGGGGAGGCCAGGGGAAGGTCAAGGGGGGAAAAAAGAAGGAGACATATGTAATACTCTTTGCAATACCTTAAGCAATAAAACAAAATAAAAAAAACACAGAAATTAGGGAAAAATATGTCCATTTAAAATAAAAACGCTTATGTCAATTTAATTAGTAATATATAGGTTTTATATTTTAAGCACACTGAATTACAGGATCTAGCATTATGTAATCAATTTTTTATTTAATACATTAACAAGTAAAAGAGGGAGAAAATAAACCTCTGGCCAACCTACTGCAAAGAAGCCAAAAATAACAGAAATTAGGGGAAAATATGTCCATTTAAAATAAAAACGCTTATGTCAATTTAATTAGTAATATATAGGTTTTATATTTTAAGCACACTGAATTACAGGATCTAGCATTATGTAATCAATTCTTTATTTAATACATTAACAAGTAAAAGAGGGAGAAAATAAACCTCTGGCCAACCTACTGCAAAGAAGCCAAAAATAAACACTAATGAATGATATATATATATATGATTTCAGAAAGGAAGGGAGAGGGAGAAAGAAATAGAAACATCAATGATGAGAGAGAATCATTGATTGTCTGCCTCCTGTACTCCCCCTACTGGGGATTGAGCCTGTAACTAGGGCACGTGCCCTGACAGAGAATTGAACTGTGACCTCCTGGTTCATAGGTCAACACTCAACCACCAAGCACATTGGCCCAACTAGCGAATGATCTTTATATTTCTACAAGCACTATCCAATTGCACATAAGTATTGTGTGAAACCAAAACACAAAACAAAAACAACTCCTCAATTTATCAAAAATTACATGAGAATAAAAAAGTCCTACTAATGATTGAACAAGCTGAAAAAGCTTTGCTATCCCTTTTTGCTTAAAGCATTATTTACAACTAGAGGCCCGGTGCACAAAAATTTGTGTACTTGGGGGGGGGGGTCCCTCAGCCCAGCCTGTGCCCTCTCGAAGTCTGGGACCCCTCCGGGGATGACCACCTGCTGGCTTAGGCCCACTCCCCAGGGGAATGGGCCTAAGCTGGCAGTCAGACATCCCTCTGGCAGCCCGGGAGCCCTCGGGGGATGTCCACTTGCCAGCGAGGAGCAGGCCTAAGCTGCAGTCGGACATCCTTAGCGCTGCTGAGGAGGCAGGAGAGGCTCCTGCCACCACCACTGTGCTGGCAGCTGTCAGCCTGGCTTGTGGCTGAGCAGAGCTCCCCCTGTGGGAGCGCATTGACCACCAGGGGGCAGCTCCTGCATTGAGCATCTGCCCCCTGGTGGTCAGTGTGTGTCATAGTGACCAGCCATTCCCAGTCATTCTGCTGTTAGGGTCAATTTGCATATTACCCTTTTATTATATAGGATAGAGGCCTGGTGCACGGGTGGGGGCTGGCTGGTTTGCCCTGAAGGGTGTCCTGGATCAGGGTGGGGGTCCCTCTGGGGTTCCTGGCCAGCCTGAGTGAGGGGCTGAGGGCCTTTTTCAGGCTGGCCACAGCTGCGGGCTGGAAGCAGGTATCTGGGATTTATTTATCTTCTATAATTGAAACTTTGTAGCCTTGAGCGGAGCTCAGGGCCGGCAGGGCTGACGGGAAGCTTGGCTTTCTCCATCGCCGGGGACAACCCAAGCCTCCTGCTTGCTCCAGCTCCATGGCTGCCACCATCTTAGTTGGGTTAATTTGCATATCTGCTCCTGATTGGCTGGTGGGCGAGGCTTGTGGGTGTGGCTTGTGGGTGTGGCGGAGGTACTCAATTCTCTTTTATTAGATTAGATAACAAATGATCAGTTAGAGGAGACCTGTACTATTGTGGCTGCTCATACTGTTTTGTGTGTGGCAACGTTATATCGTACTTTTTTG